TCAGCTGTTGGCTCAGCAGGCAGCACAATCGTGTTGCACTTATGATGGAACCGATCCTTGTCGACTACGGTGGAAATAAGAGCCCCTATCGGGGTACACGAGGTAATCCTGCAACTTTCACACAGTCTAGCAGGCATCGGGCAGCAAACTTCACACGCCCTCATTCCACAACCAACGCAAGGAACAAGAGGGAAACCAGGCTCAGGGATCCTGCTACACTTAGTGCACCTGTCCCGTCCATCATCTCCCCTCAAGGCTTCAGGGAGAAGACCACCATCTCCCTGCCTACCGGCACCATTCACACTATAACCGAGGCTAAGACCTGGCCCAAGGTTACCACCGCTCGCAACACTTGAGGGGTAACCTGCAGCATCGCTAGACTGACTAACGCCAGCGCCAACCCCTTGGTGACTAACGCCACCTCCGTAGGCAGGACCATAGAAACTGGAACCACACTGATTGTTCCCAGCTCCATGAGTATCAGCAGCACTGCCATGGAACCCGGGTGCTCCACCACGGTAACCCCCAGTAGGTGCCCCTCCACTTGGGCCGCCAGGGGGCCCAGCGGGACCTTGGCCTCCGCCAGGATGCCCAGGACCTGGTGGTGGGAGTGGAGCATGACCATGACCACCGCTTCCGCTCCCGCCTTGACCAGGTGGTCCGCCTTGCCCGCCACCTCCCCCAGGAGGAGGAGGAGGGGGCGGTCCAGCTTGAGCGCGTTCATGCCGAATATTGCAGCGCGCGCATCGCTCAAGGCCGTCATCTCCAAAGTAACTGTGATTCTCACAGACGTGGGTCCCACAATCCGTGCAGAAATACATGGAGACCTCCTGAGCATTCTTGCGACATGCCCAGCACTTCATTTTCAAAAACTGACAATTACTACAGTCACCATCATCGCCCCGGCAAAGCCTGCAAAACTCACGATTGCATGTAACACACGAAAATTCAGCGTCCGGGTGCCTACGGTTGTTGGGGTCATCGAGGGCGCAAATCTTTGGCACACCTGGGCCACCGGCACCGGGAGCGCCTCATGTGGCCGGTGCCGAGGCCTGTCCACGATCAGACGGAGCTCCAGGGGCTCTCCACCTCTCGCCGGGACTCGGGACGTCTGCACTAGCTCTGCTCCCAGGAGTCCTCCAGTCATCGCCGGGACTCTGGGTATCGACATGGGCCCTAATACCCCTACCACCTCGGAGAGACGTCCCCGCTATCGCGGATCGGTCTATTCAGGTTCGGAGAGATGCTCCCGCTATCGCGGATTGGCCTCTCCCCCCTTGATTGCCGACTTCGGACCTCAGATCCCCTATCGGGGACGGCGGCAGGCCTCGGGCTCCCATTCCTACCCACATCCCTATTTGGAGAAACAGAAATGTCCCCCCTTGCGCGCGCGCGCGGGGGCCATCCCTCGCACGCCCTGGCGGTGAATGCGACCTGTCAGGCAACCCCCGAGCCCTCCTGCTTCTGCTGTCGGACCTCTCCCTAACGGGACTTATGGGATGCCTGTCTGCACGAGAAGGATCGACCCTATCGGGCACATTCGGCAAAACATGGTCAGGCAAACCAACACCTCCGCCTGGTCTCACCGGACGGCCAGTACCCCGGCCGTCACCTTCCCCGGGTGTGGGCGTCGGAGACCTGATCCTATGTCCCTGCCCCGCAAATGCATCGTAACCAACATTCCGTCTCTCTCTCTGGGTTGTTGAGGAGCCTCATTAATCTGCTGGACACCCTGAATGATGCCAGCAGCCTCGTCAAATTGACCCTCCATTTCAAAGAGCTGAGACATGATTCTGTTGTTCATTGCGCTAAGATTACGCACATTACCATCGATAGCGCTGACTCTCCGCATAACGCCTTCAAGCGTACTCCGGAACGAGCCGAGTTCTCGCCTAACGGCAGGCTGCACTTGGTCACTGCTTGCAGGAAGATTGCGGATCTGTCCTTGAATGTTATCAACGACCCGATTCACAATTGCCGATCTCGCTTCATATTGTTCAACATGTGATTTCACGGTCTCAAACCTTGAAATGATGTCGTCATGATCCCGACGTTGACGTTGAATTCCTCGAGCCAGATCCTGGATCTTCCGATTGACGTCAATAGCCTCATGCCAGTCCTGCGGGGAATCATGTTCTGATGGTCTATCGACCTCCTGAGACCCCCTTCCACTCCGCAGCCTCGACACTCGATTGACAAGACGAGTGTGCTCTTCATTGATCCCTTCAATAGATTCAGAGGCCCACTTGGCAAATGTCTCGTGTTCGAGGAGAGCTTTCTCGATCTTCAGGTTTAACTCCCTGAAATTCGCGTCCACTACACTGCCGCTGGCCCTATCGGACGGATGCGCGACAGGATTCGAGTTCCATACGCCTGCTGGTGTCCGCATCCCAACGGTTTTCTCTACCGAGAACATCCGTTTCTCAAGCTTGTCCAAATCCTTAAGGATCTCGTCCTCAGAAGCAGCATGGCTTCTTCGGGCAGCCTCACTATTCTCCTGAATTATCTGGCGAAGCCGATCAGTCGATGCCTCATTGTCCTTGACAGATTCATGAACCTCGTGGGACAGTAGGTTAATCCTCTGCTCCACGACCTCGGCTTGCTCATCGATGGCTTGCCTTACAATGGCCTTGCTATCGGGAATAACTTCCCTTGCGAACCGTTGAACTATCATTCGCATCCTCCCGGCATCAGATTGAGTCGCAACCTCAGCTGCCAGTCGATCGACCTTGTCCTTCGTCTGTTGATTCTCGTCGCTCCATTCCCTTCGCATGGAACTCATCAGTAACCTGATTTGGTCAGCGAAAATATGGAACGCATTCGCGACTGAGCCAGAAACCTCACCTCTCTCGAGCATCTCCTGGATGTGCAAATCGAACACCTCCTTTGCCCTAGCGTCACCTGATTCACCGGAAGAATGAGACCTGAGTGCTGGAGGAGTCGATATCTCGATCCTCTCAGGAGCCCCACTAGCCCTAGCATATCTTCTGGGATCATCCACAGGACTATCACCAACCCCAGATGGCCTGCTAGGGGTGGACCCCCTTCTACGGCTATCGCCGGAACGGGGATCAACATGGGACGCACGAGACTCGGGAGTAGAGTGGATGTGAACATCAGCAGGATCAGGCATCTCCTCATCCTGCGGAGTTGAGTCCATTGGTGAGGGGCTAGCCCTCCTCGCCTTTGACCTATCGGTCTCAGGGGTGACGGTCTCTTCGCAGAAGCACTACGTTCCCTGGCGGTCGAGCCCCATTGAGGTGTGAACTCGTTGCTAGACCTTAGCGTTTCAAGGTCACTGGTATCTCGCCCTAACGGGCTAGCGATCGACGGACGATCCTCGATTCCGAGTGCATCGGCAAGCCGGCCATCTCTTGCACCTCTCCCAACAACATCGGCAACCCGCTCAGTGACCCTCGGCGAACCAGTAACCCGGTTCGAGTTCACGTCTCTCTGATTCAACGGACCTCCAAACGTAATGTTGGGAAAAGGGGGAACATTCGGGGTATCACCAATCGCCGGGGGACCTACCGGTCCCTCACGGTCATGGATGGCCTCCAATCCCCGAAGAACTTCCCGACTGTCCCTGGCTCTCTCTCTCTCGCTTCGGGCATCCCTGTCAACGCGAAGGTCCCTGGCGGCTCCACGAGAGAGGCTCCTGGGCCTCGCAGCATCACGGATCCTAGCATTTCGTCGTGGTTGGTCCTCCTCCTCATCACGGCGATCCGCAAATGCGGCATACTCGTCATCATCATCGACCTCAAACTTGGCAGCGGCGGGACTAGTCCTTGCAGTCGCACGGCTGCCTGCATTTCGGCGCGAATGGCTCTCCTCCTCATCCGCAAAATTGTAACCTTCGCCATCATAAGACTCAGATTTGGCAGTATTAGGGTTGGGCCTACCGGCATCAGATCCCTGCTTTGAGCTACTGCCCCAACCTGCGGTTGATTTCAACAGAAGTCCGTGAATTTCCGCTCCTCGTGCTCATCAAACTGACCTGGATTTTGAGAACCAATGGATCCGGAGCCAGAACCATTGTCCCTGGTCCCTGCGGCCTATTCTCAAACTCATCCGAGACCTGCGACTCACCTGGAACAAGAGATCTCGGAGGTCGAATCGGCATGGCCTCCGGGTCATCCGAATGAGGGCGGGCCATGTCCATCGCCATGCTGATGAAGTCAAAACGTCCACGCCTATGACCTGATTCAGAGCCACTCCTATCGGAGTAAACCCTTCGTGTCTGCTCGTCATCAGTGGCCTGGCGGAAAATACGATCGTCTCCATCGTCGGCGTACCTGCCACGGCTCCTGGGTGTATCCCTACCGGGATCTTCACCCCTGCGGTCCTGACCTGTCGAACCTGCTTCGAAATCCTCGTAGTCGTAGTCCGGTAGGTCCTCACCTGAGCGGAGGCCCCCTAGGATGGCCTCCTCATCCACGACACTCCTTCGAGATCGTGGGGTCGACATAGAGCTTGTAGTTGATGGTCTCAAGCGCGTAGGAAAGTCCTACGGCTGATAACCTGTGATTCGGGCACGAGCCTGTGCCCAGGCAATGGGTAAGTTGGGGTAAACAAGCCACAAAAGAAAGGTTCCCCAAAAGCAAACCAATCCCCGGTCCCAAAGATCAGGGTTTCCCACACACCAGAGAACAACAACCAAAGGAAAACAAACCAAACAAGAAAAGGGTTAACCCGCAACCTTGGTCGACAACAGGCCGCACGACTGGTCCCTACCAACCTGGCGGCGGCCCGAGGTCTCTTTCTCCCCCGAGATGCCGTCGGTCGACGCAGGGGTTCGGCGACGCCCATTCGAGGCGCGACGGAACCCAAAACTTGAGCCAAAACACCACAGGTCGGTCACTAACGCGACGTCCCTGATGATGATATGAACCATGGCTAATCACATATATAAATGTACAAATGCATATCTAGCCGAGCAATGTGTGCTTTGGATCTCTAGTTGTATCTGCCCTAGATACTTCTGCAACTAAGCCGCTCGCAGGCGAGTAGCAGCAACCATCTCGCGCTCCTGCACACAGCTGCTGGATCTACCGCGACACTGCGTCTTCCACAAGTTGAGGGCCAAAACAGCTGGTCACCATCTCAAATGCAAGAAAATAGCCAAAATCCGTGACGCTCTTGCCCTCCTCAAGCCAGCACGCCGCGTCATGGCGCTGAAACCCAAGCCGGCGAGCTACTTGAGCCCAAAGCCTGTCTCCAACTGTCCGCGAGCGTAGGCAGAGGGAGGAGATTTCCAGTCCCACTCATGGCTTGTTGGGGCTGTCCGACAGCATGGCTCTTCTTTGATGCGCTCTTTGGAATACTCTAGCAAAATATAGGCGTGCCAAGTTCCCCTCAGTTGATACACACCTTGGAAACTTGGCCCCCCTCCTCAACCTCCACGCTTCGAGACGGCTGATTAGGACTTTTGCCCTTACAACTTGACGCCTCAGCTTTCCCATTGGGCCCCCAGCTGCCGGATGCTCCAAGGGCTGCAGTAGCTTCACCTCGAGCCGGCGAGAAAGACGCAAGAGGCTCGGAGGCACGAGGTTTGTGGCAAGCAAAGGTCATCCGACCATGAGTCCCCCGGTGAACATCCCGATCCAACCACTAAAATAGGTTCGAAAATGGGTGGTGAATTCACCTACCCCAAGATGGTACCATTGGTTTTAACCCACAGCCATCCAAGAACGCATGCCGGAGGCTCTGCAAATCGCGAATGCTTTGTAAAAGTTGGAATCATCAAGTCTACAATTGGCACGCGAGTTTCTCACAGGCCCGGCACAGACTGTGATGCCGTTTGATCGAAAGCTGCGGTTGATTTAGGCTGGGTCAACCTGCCCGTCACTTCTACAGGAAAGCCCAAACCCCGGAGCCCGGTGCTCAGCCCCGCGCCCAGCCAAAGGAGCCCTTCCACTCCAGCACCATGGCAGCCAGCGGTGCCTGGATCACTCGAGTCATTACGTGGTGCGAAGGGTAAAACCCCACTTCTCGGCTTCACAAAAGAAAGGCCTGGCTGCGTTTTTTTGACACAAAGACCGAACCGAGTTGGGCAACGTCGCAAATAATAAAGGAGAAAAAAACGCCGCGGGGTGAAAGGCGCTCCGTCCATGTCGGTGCTCCAACACCGCGCCTCCGAAAGCGCCTCCCGCGGGAGGTCCGGTCCACCTGGGCCCACCAAAGCCGCCCCTTCAAGCCGGAATGCCCGCAGATTGGGTTGCGGCTTAAGCACCCAAGTCAAACGCATCTCTCCACCTGGCGCCCTCTCAGTTGGGGAATTTTGTCTGCAACAGATGTGGCGCCCAACACAAGCATTGCAAACTTGGCCTTAGTCAAGCAGCTTTCGCACAGCGAAATTGAGGGCAGATTGGTCTCACGAAACAGTCAAAGAGATCCTTTGGGGATCTGTTTTCAGGGTGCCCGTTTCAGGTTGGTTTCAAGGGAAACCAAAAGGAACCTAAGCATTTTTATTGGTTCCCCTATTTACACAAACTTGTGATGCCGACTGAGCGCTCAGCTCTTCCACGCCTTTGCTTTGGTCTTCTTGCCTCACTTGCGGTGGAACAGACAGGTCGAAATCGGTGTTGCTCAAAAGCAAGGACTCGGGTTCTCTCTTGCTTTTGAGCCACAGCCACAAGGGCATTGCTCGCATACCAAGCGGAAGCTTGGAAGAACCTTTGTATCTCATGGCTACTGGCAGAAATTCTTACAATCTGTGATTATATCGTCCCCTCATGTAGGGTCAAAGAGCGGCAAAGCTGCAGTATGAGGCTGGTGGGATGCTTGGAAACCTGACCCTGCATGCTGGACTGTCAGTCATCACATGTCAACACGAAGCTGGAGTTTCAAGCCTTCGCCGCCTGCGGATGGCTTCTTTGGCACCTGTGCGACGGAGACTCGAGCCGCATCCCTCCCATGTCGAAAGCGGGCTTGGAGCACTCACGGCAATTGACTCGCCAACGCTCACCATGCAGCTCCTATGGGACACTTGATCAACGCGAGATCCAAAAACGAGCCGCACAGCGGTATGCAGTAACGTTACTTGAATTCAGGGGCGCCGTTCCCCCGACAAAAAGGACGAGCTTCCTCTGGTGGACTCATTGAAAGACGCACCGTGGCCATTGCTCACATCATCCACTTTTACACGATGCGTGCCAGCGCCTTCTCCTCGGCTAAGGCAGTTAGCTTTGCATCCTCCTGTGAGGGGTTGATCCTTTGGAAGCAAGTAAGGGCCATTTAGTTCAATTGATTGACATGCTTTGAAGATGCCACCTGTGGGGCAGAAAATGAGTAAGGGATTTGGTCATATCTCAGGAGCGAAAGGGATCTTCTCAAATACAGTCTCTAGTGAGAGAGAGCAGAACTTCCCCCCCCAGCAGTGCAGACTATAGCTGATGCGTTCAGCGTAATTGAGATTTTATTGCCCAAACTTGGACCAGTTGCTTCCCCCCCCCCCCCCCGGCACCCCCCAAACCTCCCCGCTCCACTGCTTCCACTTGCCCCAAGGCTGGAAACTCAAAACATCCCTGCTCCTTCCACATCCGTGCGAGTTGGTGCTTCTGATTTGTGCCAGTATTCATGAGTACTAGCTGTGTTGCACTTGTCGCTGTTGGCATTCCGACCTGCGTACAGTCCAAACTCATGCTTTCAAATCAGTGCTTCGTCGATTGGGCATGCAAAGAGGGCTACACATAGTCTCACCCATGACCGAACCAGCAGACGTGACCACTGCACCACTCATGCTTTCAAGTCAGTGCTTAGTCGATTGCCACGACCGAGGCCAGACGTGACCACTCCGCGCCCAAAGCACCAGCCCCTCCCTGGTCCTGGATGGCCTTCAGCGCGATGCTCGCAGCGCTCTGCTCTGCCGCCTGCTTGTTGGGGCACACCTGCGTCGAATCAGCCCAAATGAGTCACAATCAAAACCTGGTACAACAATGGTGAACCCAGAACCATGTAAATAGTTAGAAAGGCGGCCACAGCTTTTTCCGGCTGGGACTGCCCCTTACTAACCTTCATCTACCCGGGTTTTGATTGTGGCTGAAATGAGCCGACCAGGCTGCACGCACTGCAACCCGCCGGCAACCCGCCGGCCCGATCCCCAGCGCACCTGCCCAGCAAAGAGCTTGCTGGCCCAGTCCTCAGGCAGGCACCTAGGGCCGAAGTTGGCTTGAGGTGCGAAGCATGTACATTTTCTCTCTGAACTTTGACACATCTGGCCTCATTGGACTCATTTCGTGGTTTCACAGTTTCACATCTAAAGGCAAGAACATGCTTCCGTGCATGCGCCGCCCAAGCACATGTCATGTCTCTAGAGCGACCAATACACTTAGCAGGACTTGACCGCTGGACGCATGGAGACATCCTGCTCTCAGGGTCTTCGGATCTGGGCGCTCCGCGGCAGCTGAACGGTGGCTTGATAGCCGGTTGGGTTCTGGCATCGAGCTGTGTCCGATGCAAAAGATGACATGGAACCCTGGTTGGCTCAGTTGGCTCAGTCTGGTCCTGTCTCAGTTCTGCGAACATCCCTCTCTGCTTTCAGTGAAGTTTCTCCAAAAAGGCCACGAGTATCGATTCACTTTCAAGCATTCCAAGGGAACCCTTGGGAATTGTCCCGCAACTCCAGCAAATTCACCATGTCCGGCTTCAACCTCCCTGAAATGTTCCGCATGGCCATCCAGGCCCCGCCTTTCCAAGGCCCAACTGCTGCGTCTCGTAGACGGTCTCGCCTTTCTGCAAAGGACGCCTCAGAACGGAACGGCGCTCCGTCGCCTCTTGCAACTCGCCGAACGCTCAGGCTCCAGCTTTGCGATCCTCATGCACAAGGCATTCAGCTTGACCTGGCTTCTCTGGAGCCACGCGGCACGGAAAAGAATGAGCTGGCCGAGGCGATTTGCAATGTCAAACCCACCACGTTGCTCTTCACAACGCATTTGCCAGGTCCCAGCCTGGCTGTGTGGCAACCAACCAAAACCAAAGCTCAAGGCCCGGAACTCATCCAGCTGTGGGCGCCGAACATCGGATTCCTCTGGGCGATGGAGCGACCGAGCCTTGTCCGTGAGAGCCGGGTTCTCTGCATCTGATGGCCCTGCCTGCAGTCTGAGACCCAAGCTGATGAGTCTGAAGGTTGGCAAGCCGCTATTGGTGCCATGCCATGGCCGATGTTGAAGCGAAACAAATCCCTTGAGTCACTCGTGTTCTGTTTGCCAACGCAAAGCCAACGCCAAGCCAAAGCGAGATTAGTTTTCACAGGGAGCACTTATACAGAGTTCTGCGAAAGGAGTTTTGTCCCTGCCCGCCTTGTCCTCTCCATCACCTCGGTGCAAGCTGTTTGCCGAAGCATGGCACAAAACTCCGAGAAACCAGAACAGAAAATGGAGTACGGCCATTCTTGAATCTCTGCCTCGTCTCAGGGAGTATATCAAAATACATCTACACATCTTGTATTGGCATAGGCTAGGTGGGTATCTTCATATCAAAGCAGAAGCCACCAGGTTCATCCCATGAGCCATTCCATTTGTGTTTCTGCGCAGTCGCTGGTATCCTGAGCAAAGCAAGCGTTTGCACCGGCGAAGCAAATCTGCACAGGCCCAAAGCGGACAACGAGGCAGGACCAGCTCTGGAGAACCTAGCTGAGTCTCTTTTCCTGGATTCAATGGACGGGTTGCAGTGTCCCAAGAGCAGCCGGAACCCATGCTGCATATGCTGCTCTCTGAACGTGACTTGCGAACCCACTTTTGTCTTGGCAGCGGCGCCCGACTTCTTCTTCTTCGCTGGCTTCATGGGGGGCAGCGAGCTGATGACCGTGGAAAACGCCTAGGGCGTGAGACAAATCTCTCAGCCAAGGTCTCTGATGTCGGCAACGCTTGAATTGGAATCACATATCAGCAACCCTGAAATACAAACCAGTGTCCAAGGCTAGGTCCACCGTAAGACCTGGTTTCTATTCAATTTATCTCATTGTCCTACGACTGATGCTACGATGCGAGTAAAGGATAGCTCCTGGTCGGTTGACTGCCAAACTGGTCGGCCAAAGTCATCGGTCAGACTTAAGGCCAAGAGCCGGATACTCTCTCAACGTGCGACGTTCGACTGAAACGAGATCTCGGCAAAAAACTCGGCCAAAGACCAAGGCAAGCGTGAACATAGGTGTCCTTTGGGACAAATAGATGGCCCTGTCTAAACCAGTGCCTTCTATTCTTAATCAAACTACCCTAAAAGGACACCTATGAATGTGAATCTTCGCCCCAGCTCAATCATCAAATGATGGGTCCATCTGAGAAAACATCACCCGAATTCGCGCCCCAATTCGACTCCGAGGCGAACCCGCAGCCGGGCCCGCCTTCAGCGCCTGCTGCGCCGCAGACTTCTCGGCGTCCTTGGGGGTCTCGCTGAGCTCCCCTGCGTACTCCTGGCCACGGCGAAAGCGAGGCATCGCATTCGCTTGTGTCCAGACACGAATTGAGGGGCCATAGTAGTTTGCCAAGTGGTGCAAAAACATCTGCATTCGCAGAAGAAATGACCCAAATGACCTCAAGTCAGGGCAGCTTCATTGTCTGCCACATGCTCTTGATCCATCAAGTCAATACCGTGGCAAGGAGCGGAAGATATGTCTCCCGATGTCGCCCGTAGCAACAGCCAGGTTGATCGGCGGTTCAAGATGTTTTGGATCGGTCTATGGCCTCTTCTCCTGAATTTCCCAAGATCAGGCTTGAGCTGCTGGATTCATGAGAATCTGATGGTCTCCGGCCGACGCGCTTGAGTGTCCTGCCCATCGAGGCAGTTGAGCCGGACAATGGACTGATACCTCAGAGAGAAATGCCAGGCATGTGGCCGGACCGTTCTCAAATACTTTGCCGTACTCTCAACTGATCATTTCCTTCGGTGCCCTGTTTTATGACAACAACCACGAAAGTTTACATGGAACTTTCTGTAGTACTGGAACTAGTTGAGCTAGCTCTCACTGAGAATGAACGCGCCTACGCGATCTTCGGGAAACGCGAGAAGTGGGGAATAGAAGTGGGCGAAAACGTGCCCCCTGTGAGAAATGCTGCCCCTGTGCATGCGTGCAAACCTCGGTCAAAACGTCTCGGACAAGGTCAACCGGAGCGGGCGCATGCCCCGCCTCAACATTCGAGTTTTGCTTAGTGGCTTTGCTCCGACCAGAACAATTGAGTCGCATTCACCAGCGAATCGTTCTCCCATACATATCAGAAAAGTCCATCAGAGCCGATAGTTTGGACCTCTCTCTGTGTCTCTTTCTCTCTCTCTTTTTTTCGTTAAAATACGTTGGTACTTTACTGCAAGTGCAAGTGTTGTTTCTGTTGTCACAAACACAAATGTAGTTAGCCAGCATGCACTCTTTTCCTGGTAGACTCAAGGCCTGCAGTCGGGTAGTGTACATCATGCATGCACAAGTGACAAGTAGTGCAACATGATATTTGACACGGCCCCTTGGTTAAAAGACCTTGTAGTGTCCTTTAACCATAGACCCAAAAAAGGTGGTATTGACAGTAGTGGCAAAAACGAATGCACATGTTGTTTGCCGATGCTACTGTAGCGAACAGGCATGTAGTCTCTTAAAAAAAGATGACCGAAGGTAGGTATCCACAGCGCTGCTGTCTGTAGTTCAACTAACCTTCAAATGATCAAAAAATGAAATTGCTGTACAAGAACCCTAAATTGGCTCTCAGTCATCTCGTAGTACGATGACGTAGTACAGCACGTAGTTGCAGCTCCACCTAGAGATCAGGTGTGCTTAGTTCAGTGTTGAACTCGGTAGTTCTGGACTTGGCTGATGCGGTAGTCCAAGCCTGCATAGTGGTTGGTAGTGAATGTGTTGAGGAAGTCTGGACCGCCACGGAGGCGGTTGTAGTCGCATTCTGGTGGTGCAAGTGCTTGGCCGGTTGTAGTGAGGTAGTTGTGGAGTAGTAGTTTGTGTTGTGTGGAAAGATTTGTAGCCGTGAGGAGGGTGATGCCGTAGTAGGTGACACTTTTGTGTAGCATCGTGTTGATGGACTTGTAGTGGTGGTCTTGAAGTTGTTGTGGTTGGTCGAAGTAGTTGAGTAGTTCTGGTAGGTACAGTGGCATGTGGTAGTTCCAAATGAAGTTGTTGGACAGGTTGAATGTAGTGGTGATCTGGTCCAAGTTGTAGGTGATTCGGTGTAGTCGTTGATGTAGCTGGCGTGTAGGTAGGTGGTGCTCGTCTTTGATTGAGATCATGTGGCTCACGTAGTCGCGGCAGAAGTTGATGAGTTGTCCAGCACTGACAAATCGTAGTAGAACTTCTGGTGGAATGTGTAGTTGGATGATGACCATCGAGTTGGTGTACTGAGTTGTGAGGTGTAGTGATGTTAGGTTGTAGTAGTAGAAGTTGACTGCCTCTGAGACGTAGGTGAAGAGGTAGTGAGTCGTAGTGTGGCATCCGTAGGTCTGAAGGTAGGTCGTGAACTGGTAGGTTGTAGTTGAGCTCGGGGATGGGTGTAGTTTGTTGTTGACTTAGTAGTTGGAACTCCTCGAGCGTCAAAGCCACGTAGACCCTGAAGTAGTTCTGCTCCGCGTCGATCGCTGCAGTGTCAGGGATGTTGTTCTCAATTGTAGTGAGGTGTGCCAAGATGTCGTCGGGTCTGTAGAAAGGTGCCGGTGTGGGTAGTTGGTGATTGAAGTTGTAGTTGAGGGAGTTGTAGGCCTCAGGTGGTGGTGTGGCCAAAGTAGCCATGCTGCTGGAGTCGGTAGTGCCCTGCCGATCCGGTGGTGTGAAAACACGGTCCGGTGTAGTACTGCCAGCCTGTTGTTCGATGGGCAGAGTAGTCTCTGGCGCTGATGTAGTAACCTCCATCGGCATGACATCCAGCGTAGTCGCATCCATGGGCGCAGCCATTGCTGGTAGTTCGGCCTATCGAGATGCAGTGAAACGGGGCAGACAGTAGTGAGCCAATGTTAGCTCACAAAAGCACATGCGGGCATGTAGTAAAACACAAAACAACATGTAGTGTTGACTCAAGCCGCCAAAAGCCGCCAAAAGTGCAAGTGCAAATTACTGGTGGTTACAATTACTATTACTTGTAGTCACTGTTACTGCTACTGTTACTCAAACACAGGTAGTTACATATGGCCATATACAAACTGTTGTGGTTGATGTGCAACAGTTGTGAAACATTTGTTGTTCGTAGTGCTAAACACGTATGCCAATTTGCTCTGTATGAGCCTCTGTAGTGTTTCTTTCCTAATGTATTTTGTGAACAAGTCTGAGCTGTTGTGTAGTGTGTTGATTTTGAGGATTCTGATGATGTCGTGCTTGATGAGGTCTTGTGCATAGAGAAGTTTAAGGTCGATGTGTTTTGCTCGTTTGCTAGTGCCTTGTCGTGTAGCAATGCTCTTGCCTGCTGTGGAGTCTGTGTGGATGCGTAGATTTAACTTGCTGCAAATGTTGGTTTCAAGTAGGAAGTTTCTGAGGTGTAGTCCCTCATTAACTCCTGTGCAAATGGCGTAGAGTTCAGACTCTGCTGAGCTGAGTGCTATTGTAGCTTGTGTTCTGCTGCCAAACGCAACTGTTGTTCCTAAAAAGATGATGTTGAAACCTGAAGTTGATTTCCTGGTAGTAGGGCATCCTGCCCAGTCGGCATCGACATGAACGTCGAGATCCAGGATGTTGTTGGTGTTTGCTCTGAGTGTTGTTGTTGGTTCTATGGTGAATTTGTAGTGCTTGGTGCCGTGCAAGTAGCGTAGTAGATGTTTGACTCTCTTTTGTGAAAGTTCTGTAGGTGCTGTGAGGTCTCGTGCTAGTTCTTTTGTGGAGTATGCAATGTCTGGTCGTGTGTATGCTAACCATTGTAGTTTGCCAACAATCCTTCTGTACCTTTTGTGTTGTTCGTGGTCAAGTAGTGCTTCATCTTCTATTGTTGGTTTGTAGTGTGCAATTCCTGGAGTGTTCACTGAGTTGCAGTTGTTCATTCCAGACTCCTCGATCATGTTGTCGATGTAGGAGTCCTTTAGTCCCAGGTTGCAGTAGTTGCCAAAGTGGTCGATGTTTCTTCCAAGAAATTGTTGTGGTTTGCCAGGTTCGAGGTAGCCGATGTGCTTGAGTAGGACCTGCTTCTGGATGGCCTCGAAGGTGGAGTCGACAGTAGTCTTGTCACCAAGTACCAAGAGATCATCCACGTAGACCATGATGTAGCAGTCGCGAGTCGCGTTGGTGTAGACGTTAGGTTCTGACTTTAGTCTTACAAAGCTGAGCTTTTGTAACACTTCAGCCAGGTAGTCCTGCCATGCTTTTGGTGAACTGCGTAGTCCATACATGGCTTTCTTTAGTCGCCAGATTTTGTCCTGTTGTGGACAAAGTTCTTTAGGTGGCCAAAGGTAGACGTCACGTTGTTTACCGTCGTGGTCTTTTGCGATGGGTGCGTGTAGAAATGCTGTAGAGACGTCACCTAGTCGCGCTATCCAGTTTGGTCGTGACATTTGTAGTGCGAGAAGTGTCCGGAGTGTCGTGAACATTGGTGTAGAGGCGTAGACGGAGTCTTCGTCCTCGATCTTCTCGGTGTAGCCTTTTGCGACGATTCGGCTTCATACTCCTGGTCCTTTCTTTCTGTGTACCCATCTTGTAGGCATCGCTTCTCTGATGACGTTGTCGTCGACGGTAGACGCATCTACTTCGTCGTAGACGTCATGTAGCTTCATTTGATTTGACTCGTGTTTCATTCCTTCCAGTAGTTGTGTTTCGTCGTAACCTTTGTTGTCGAAGATTATGGGTTGGTCTTCTGAGGTGTCGTTCTGTGCTTTAGTGAGTTGCATTACTTCTTCCGGAGTTAAACGTCGTAGTGTTTGTCGAGGTGGTGCTGGTAGTGGTGGATGTTGTCGTCCGGTTGGTGAAGTAGCCATCGGACAGTCCGGTAGTGGTCGTGAACTTGACGTCGATGTTGACGGAAGTCGTGGAGGTGGTGTGGTGCGTTGTTGTTTTGTTGCGGGTTCCGCAACGATGTCGTCCGTAGCGTTCGTTTGTTGTCCGAAATCTTGCTGGTAGTTGCGCATCCAACAGTGTTGCGAAGGATGGGTTGTAGGTGTTCCGTCGTGGTGCCCACGGTGTGCCGGAAACTTTGTTGAATAGTGCGAGGTCGTATTTGAAGTCCGGTTGTAGTCTCCGCACTGTTCGTACCTTTTGTACGCCTGATTCTGTTGCGACGTAGTTTTCTCCGGTTTCGGAAACTTTTCCGAGCCAGATGCATTTCTGCATCCGCAGGTCTGCTTTTGGGAGTTTCTTGTGTTGTGGTGGAAGGTAGAGTAGTGTCTCGCCAAATTCGCAGATTGCTCGCTCGTAGTTTCTTCCCCAGCGGCGTTCAAAGCTTGTGTAGCCGTCTGAGTGGATGACGTAGCGATTTACCGTCCATGCTGCATGTCGTACTATCCAAGGTAGTAGACAGTGCTTTGTGGACATCGTCATGCTGTAGTTGCTTTCAACCTGAGCTTTGACGACGCGGATTTGTCCGAGGAGTGTTCTATGTAGTCGCTCAACGCTTCCTTGACTGTTGCTGCTGTAGGACGGTGAATGTCGTACAGTCATTGAGCCGACTTTAGATGCTGTTGCTTGTAGTAGTGCATTGAGTGTGTCTTCGTTGTCGCTTTGTAGTATGCCGTGTGTTCTTCCGCATTCAAAGATGAATGCTTGTAGGTTGTTGATCATGTAGTCCATCATCGATGGTTGTCCGGAACCAATACCGCCATGCACAGTTGTGTAGTAACATCAACTGCCGTTAAGACTGGTATGGTCTTCGGATCTTGTTGTGATTTGATGTAGGCAAAATCCACTTGGATGATGGGTTGTCGTGATTGTTGTTTCTTGTAGTTGTCCTGGCGTCCTTTGCCTTGAACGCAAATTGGACACCAATTTCTGTATGGTAGGTGTGTCAAGTTGTGTTCTGCTATTTGTTGTGGAGTGGGCTGCTGAGGTTGTCGTAGTCCTATTGCTCTGTGTGCTTCATGATGCTCGTGTTGTTGTTCCTCATCGTGGTTCTCTTGGATGTACTCGTAGTCTTTCTTCACGGTGAACCTTGTTGTTCCTTTCCATTGAAATGGTAGTGCTGCGTTGCCCATGACTGTCCAGTCATCTTTGCGTTGTGAAACTTCTCCAAAGTTGTTGTGAGTGATTGTAGTTCTGTGAGGCTCAAGTGTGTTGATTGGTGGATGTCCTGGTCCATCTGTTGGAGTGAATAGGGTTGTTCTAAGTGTTGTGTGGTGTCTTATCCAGTGTTCACCTTGTCTTTCCCAGTAGTCTTGGTTGTCCTCCTGTGCTGTGAGTGGTCTGTGGATTGTCTCCTTTGGTTGTGTGGTGTCAAGATTGGTAGAAGGTGCTGCTTTAGGTCTCCATATCTTTTGTGGCGCTCGTAGTTGGATCTTTGATCTGGTTGGTGGTGTGTCCATTAGCCGTTGTGGTTGTGAGCTCTGCCTTGTTGGTGTGGTCTTTGATGTTGCTCTGCGTGTAGGTGTTATCTTTCTTCTGAATCTGGTTTCTCCAGTCCAGTTGTCACCTTCTAGTCTTCGTTGTAGTTCTTGCTTGGAAAGTTGTGTTGGGTTCTCTTGTAGTTGTTCTTGCTCTTGCCCTTGTCTGTTGATGATGGTTAGTCGCCAATCATCTAGTTCTCCTTCAGGTATTGGGCAACCGCTGTTGTGTGGTGTGAATAGTGCTTTGCGTGGTCGTTTGTGTACTCTGATGGCGTAGTCACCATCAAGTTTCCAGTAGTCAGTGTTTCCACCAAGGATCTGTCGTAGTCCTTGGTCTGTGTGGGTGAGTGGTGCAATTTGTTCTTGTTGTTGTACTGCTTTCTCTGTAGGTTGAATCACAGCAATGGATTTTCCATTGTCTGTAGTCATTGGGTAGATGTCGAATCCTGTAGGGATGTCGATCTTCTCTGCTCGTAGGTAGAAAAGTCCTGAGTGTCTTATGAGGTGTGCTTGTTGTTGTCCATGTGTGATGGTGCAGTGTCGTGGAGTGAAGTCAAGTCCATATCCTCTATCAAGTAGTCTTGATGCACTGAGGATTGGATACTTCACATCACAAACGTAGTAGGGTATCATGATCCTGAAGTTGTCCTGCTTGTAGGGAACGTACTTGATGCCGTAGACAGGAATCTTCTTGTTTGTAACCGTGTAGAGTTGTGGAACCGATTCTCCACAAGGTCGTGGCGGTAGGTCTGGTGCGTAGTCCTTCGGGCAAACATGTGTAGATGCTCCTGAGTCGATCAACAGGTGGTGGTATGACTTGAAGTTGGAATACATGATGTAGTGTGTGATAGTGTCCTCAATCTTCTTGTTCCTTTGTGGTTGTCTTGCTGCTGCTATGTCAAAGTGTGGCTGTGTGTTGTCTTCTTGTAGGAATTGTTGAAAGCTCTTGCTGTGGTCGTTCCATGATGTTGTGTGTGTTGTTCTCTTGCCAAGTAGTGATTTGGATTTGTGCTTGTGTAGTCGTGAGTTTGCTTGTCTGATGTGTCCAATGGTAAGGTGTGACTCGTTGATGCCTCCAATGTAGTTTGCTGTGTCCTCATAGCTGTTGTCATTCCAATCCCAGCTGTTGTCATAGTCGTAGTCGTTCCAGTTCTCCTCCATGTAGTTCACCTCGTGTTGTCCTTCTTCTCCTTCGTAGTACCAGTCCCAGGTGTCGTTCACATCCTGAGGTAGTTCTTCATTGTTGTCATGATCTGCTTGTTCTTGTTCTATTGGATGTAGTTCTTCTCCTTCTCCTATGTGCCATACTGGCACTCTGCAGTCTTGTGCCCAGTGGCCGGGCTTGCCACATCGATGGCATGTTGTGTAGTTGTTGTTTCCTTTCCCTTTTGATTTGCTGTAGTTTCCTTGGCCTTTGTAGCCTTTGCTTGATCCATATCCTTTGGATCCTGAGTAGCCTTTCCTTTGCTCTTGTTGTATCCTCCTTTGTTGTAGTTTCCTTTGCTGCCTTTGTCGAATCCTTTGTAGTGGCCTTTGCTTCTGTACTTGCCTTTTCCTTTGTTTCCTTTGTAGTGTCCTTTGCCTCCATATTTGCCTTTGCCTTTGTAGTTTCTTCCTTTTCTCCAAATGTTGTCCACGTCCATTGGTGCTGTTCCATTGTAGTTGGTGCCAACTGCTGAGCTCGCTCTTGAGAATGCAGCTATGGTTTTGTAGTAGTCCAGGATCACAACTCTGATCTCGTTGTAGTTCGTGATCTGTCCAGCGCGTAGTTGGAGATGTTGTTGAAGTGCTCCTTTAGTCTTGTTGAGTAGTATTGCAATCTTCACTCCATCTGGTAGTGCTGTGCCGTTGTCTTTCTCGTAGCGGTTGATGTCATACTCCCACTGTAGGAATTGTTCTTCAAATTGTGCTTCATTGAATGTAGGTTCCAGTAGTTTGGTGAGGTAGCCAACACTGCGTGTTCCTACTGGTAGGCTGAACCTGTTGTGCAAAAGCCGTAGTGTTTCACATCCATTGGCATTGTAGCGGTTTTGTCTGACCACTGTAGCTGCTGCACCTTGGCAGATGTTGATGAGGATGTAGTGTAGATCTCGTGAGAGGTCTACTGCTTTTGCTGCCTGTGTAGGGTCGCGTATGTGGGCTCTGATGTCTGCATCTTCAATTTGTCTTGTAGCTGCTTGTGCTAGTTGTAGCACCATGTCGAAGTCTCGGTCGATGAGTCCGAGGTATGCTTGTAGTTTGAACAGCCACTCTTCGTACTGTGAGTAGTCACCAGTGAAGAACGGTGGTGGCAGTTTGTATTTGTGTAGCCTTTGGACGTCTTCCTGCTCCTGTGTTGTTCCCGTAGTTGTGGCTCCTATTGTCTCCTCTGCTGTGGGCCCGTTGTCTGCTCCTGTAGTTGGTTGTGCTGATGCTGCTGCTGGTTCTCCTGACATGTCGTAGTAGTTGGGCATGTGGTTGCCTGTGCAGTTGTAGTACTTACTGCTGTTACTGGAGCTCCCCTATGTTTAGGATCTCAGCTCCGCTACCACGTTAAAATACGTTGGTACTTTACTGCAAGTGCAAGTGTTGTTTCTGTTGTCACAAACACAAATGTAGTTAGCCAGCATGCACTCTTTTCCTGGTAGACTCAAGGCCTGCAGTCGGGTAGTCTACATCATGCATGCACAAGTGACAAGTAGTGCAACATGATATTTGACATTGTTTGTCTTCCCCTTCCTCTTTCTCTTCTTCTTTCCTTTTCTCTCTCTCTCTCTCTCTCTCGCTCTCTTCTTTTGCTTCTACTCCTCTTTCTTTCTTCTTCTCTCTCCTTCTCTCTCTGGTTGTTCTCTCTCTCTCTGTCTACTCTTTCTGTATTTTCCATCCATGTGTGTCTTCTGTATTTATTTCTTCTTTATTGTTTTTCTTTATTCCTCCCTTCCTTCCTTCCTTCCTTCCTTCCTTCCTTCCTCCCTCCCTCCCTCCCTCCCTCCCTCCCTCCCTCCCTTCCTTCCTTCCTTCCTTCCTTCCTTCCTTCCTTCCTTCCTTCCTTCCTTCCTTCCTTCCTTCCTTCCTTCCTTCCTTTCTTCTTCCTTTATAATTTTCTTTGTTTCTTTTTGTTTCTTTGCTCTTCTCTCTCTCTTCTTCTTTCTCTTTCTCTCTCTGTCTCCTCTTTCTCTTTATCTTTTTCATTTTCTTTCTCTCTCTCTCTCTCCCTCTCTCTCGCTCTCTCTCTCTCTCTCTCTGCAGCCCACGAAAGTGAACAAATGCAAAAATACAGCTGAGTTTGTAGAGGCTGATCCCACAACAGTCTGCAGAAGGATATGCGAGCAAAGTGAAAAATGCAGCAGCAGCAGCAGCAGCAGCAGCAGCAGCAGCAGCAGCAACAACAACAACAACAACAGCAACAGCAACAGCAACAACAACAACAACAACAACAGCAACAGCAACAGCAACAGCAACAGCAACAGCACAACAACAACAACAACAACAACAACAACAACAACAACAACAACAACAACAACAACAACAACAACAACAACAACAACAACAACAACAACAACAACAACAACAACAACAACAACAACAACAACAACCCCGCAAAGGGTTCACCTTTTGATGGTTGCACAAGCTGAACAACGCAAAACAAGCCACGTTTTTTTCAAGGCCGACCCGCCCAAAGTGTAACGCGCGATCGGAACATTAGAAAGCAAGCACACAAGTTGTGTCGAGCCACCCAAAATGCGAGGGTTTTCAAATGGCCGCGCCAATGGGAGCATATCCTCCAAGTCGTGTGGGCTTTGTGCCTATACAAATGAGCTGGGTGTCATGGGCAATCTAACACAAGCATGCGTTTGTGCACAAAGAAGCTCATTGGCGCATTGGCTATTTGCTGACCAATGGATCCCCAGCGAGTCTGCAAGCCATCGCATGTGGCGACTTGCAAGTAAAAAAGACACCCGAGTTCCCCGAACGATCCCTCGATCTAGGCGACTGGCTGCTTGTTCCCAAAGCGGGTCGTGGAGTACAAAATGTCCTTCCGCGTTACGGGCCGCAGGCAGTACCTGACAACTCGAAGGATGGTGAGGGGCCTTTTTCCGCGGACTCAACCCTACTGGATGTGAGTTCCCCACGTGGAAAAAGACTGAAAATGAAGTTATGCTGCAGGTCGGTTTTCAAGAGTCGAGTGTTCTGAGTCATTTGTCTTGTGTTGGGGCTGCTTCTCCATCTGCCTTACTCCCGCCTATCTATTACAAAAAGCTTGACGAATTCATGTGACCTCTCTGCAAAACGTACTCTGACGGTTCAAAGAACAAGGACGTGCGTTCCCCCGCAGCAGCTACGTTCCCCTTACAGCACGAGCAAAATGCGAAGCGAGACATGAAAGCTAACATCAGCTTCGTGGCTGCCGTCATTGGTTTTAAGCTTGTTGCGTAAACCACGCAGAGCCGAAACACACAATCCTTTCTTGTTTGATCCTCTCCTCGCTGAGCCGCTGTCTTGCAATCTGCTCGTTGAAATTGTGACGCGGATCTGGAATGGATCCTCCAGTAATCCCTGCCCAAGCCAAAAGCGCAAGGCTTTTGGGGCCTGCTTTTTCTTTCTGAAAGTTTATGCCTCCCAAAAGGATATGGAAATACACTGTTCGGTGAACTAAGGTTGGTCAAAAATCGTCTTCAGCATCATGTTTGTTGAAGCACGTCTGATCTCAAGCTTTGTCAACCTTCCGCTACCCGAGTCCACTGCTCAGGCCCGGCCTCTGGCAAAACTGGTTCAGGCGCGTCTTGGCATCCATGCCTAGAGCACATTGGTCCAAGGACGTCCGGTCAAAGGCAAGAAGTCGGTGCACCGAATGATCCGCCAGTTCTTCAGCGTTTCCTTTTGGCCTTTTGCGGCCTTTGGGCCTTCTCGTTGCCGTGCCTGCCGCCTCCGGTGCCGCGGGAGACACCATCGCCACCGGCGCCACAGGCGGGGCCTCCATGGCGTCGCGGTTCGTCTCGCGGCTCGGCTGACTTGGCTGGGCGGTTCGCTTGGCTGAACTTTGGCTGTGCTCGTCACTGCTCGTCGGCTCGGCTCTTCTTTCTTTTACTTGCAAAAGTCCGGAAGAAAATAGTGACGAAAACATGTGTGGCCTGGGTGCTGATTCCATGCGCGGCTCCGACTTCCGGGTTTATGGCTCGCAAGTGCTTTGCCGCACTCAAGATTTTACTCCCGGGGGCCCAAAGCCCTGGCGCTTGCAGACTACCAAAACCACTCGAACAGCTCCGGCGTGGATGGCATCTGAATTCAATGAAAGCCCTTTCACGACAGAACCCACATGGCCGCCCACACTGTTTCGCTGGCTCGTTGCGTCCTCGATCGATGGCCTCCAGGACCAAAGTCGCGCTGCGTGATGCCATTCGTAGTGCATCACAGCGCTGCGCTGCGCTCCCTTGGATCAGCCTCCGCAGGCTTTGGCCAAGCAGAGAGCGCTAGTCGGAGGATCAGTCAACCTCATGACTTGGAGTGCCCATAAGATACAGAGGATCGACCAGGACAATAAAAGGCCTGGAAAATGCTGGCAGAGTGGTGGACTGGTGCCTCACTCATGCTCTTAGCCACCAAACTCACGGTCAATTCTGGCCCAGGCAGTATTGAGCCTGTGCTATTAAACCGACGCATCCACCATCAAGGCTCACATGAGACCTAGTAAGCTGATATTGTGAACATGGATCGCTCAGAGATCCCAGAAACGTGTGCAAACACATTCGGGGAATGGTATGTGGTCTCACTGGAGCACTCAGTGTCAGTGCAACATCAAAACAGTCGCCGCTCTGGTGAACTGCGGAGAAACACCAGGCATAGCCAGCTCCAAGCGACAGCCAAACAAAGACCCGCCGAAAATAGGAGCATGAGTTAAAACTCCGGATGCGCTGCTTGCAAACGAGGGCAGTGATGCCCCAAATCACAAAACCATTCCAAGGCATGGCTAAGTCCTCAAAGGTAAGCTGTCTCTTCTGGATGAACAGCACATAGTGATGGCTCATGAATGAAGCGGATCGCCATGCTCGGACTCGGTGCATGCAACTTAAGAGTTTAAGAGTGGCTGAACAGCCGTTGCTGTGATTGAATCGGAAGGACTGGAACACTGGGGATCAGCCAGAAGAATTGCACCTACTATGCTCCAATCCATCCGGTCCGCGCAAGAGGTGACAGGTGCGGAACAAGGCAGCCCACTTCTCTGGGGCTGGAGCGATCGTGGACCCCTTTGGTCCAAAAGTGCCCAGACCCGAGAGCTATAGAAAGGCAGTGGCCCCATTTCGAACGCACAGGTCTGTCCTGTCTCACACCCGGTTTGAATGGCATGCAACTCCCGTTCACTCGAGATACCAAATTACGCTTCAAAGCTGCGCATGCAAGATGTCCCAATTACTTCAAGTGGTCCAATATTACCGCAAGCTCAACGACGTGCTTGGGACTGGGTGAGATGTACACATTCAGCGCAGCGTCCGCCATAGCACACAGCCTAGGGCCAGCCGGCAAGGATTGTCAGTGGACTTTCGCCGAAAGTCCGTGGTCCGAGAAATTGATCGGCGACAAAAAACACAGCGGTCATTGGGTTCATGGGTTCCGGTCCGTGCAAAATCCACCTGTTCTCAGTCCACAAAAACCGGTAAGGGGGAGGCTCTTGCGATACGGAAAGTCTGAGCTCCGGACGAGGCATCTGGCTGTGCAGCGCACCATTGGCTCAACGTCTGCCACTCCGCAGTGGCCATCTTGGGGGGAAGCGAATGCTCCAGAATCTCCTCGGGCCGCGGACGTGGCGGAAAGCTTGGAGAGGCTTGTTTTGGTTGCAAGCTACACTTGGGCGAATCACCGGCCTCAGCAAGAACTGGCAATTCCCCTCACAGTTGAAAAGTGAACGCCTAAGTCGTGCATTAACATCGACCAGGGAGTCAGGGCTGGTGTGCTTCAGGCAGTCAAATGCAAATCAAGGGTTGCATGACGTGCTTCCGTGGTAGCCACGCCTTATCAACCTATCGAAAATCGGCACCTGCCAGCAAACTTGCTGCCAGCGCAAATGGGTGAAACCTTCCCACAGCATGAACGACAGCCCATGCCAACCCATGTCAAGCTATCACCGATGTCAAGCACGCGCTTGCAAAACCTAAGTTTCGTGCTGCACAGCGTCTTTGCTTGTAACCCGACACTTCCCCACGCCCAACTTGTCTCAACCAACACACCTGCATGCGCTCGAGAAAAATCCCCCAGGTCATTGCGGGGTCTCTGGCCCAAGAGTCGCGTACCTCGGGTGCGATACGGATCAACAAGGCTCCGCGAAAAGGGTGCAAGCTCGATCTCAGCTGGCACCCCAACTTGTGCATCAACGTGTGTCCAGGGCATGTAAGTGGGTAGGAAATGGGGATGCAAGATCAAAAAGACGCTCTACACAAAAACGAAAAGGTTACTTGCAGGCGACTGAGCCCACTTCTCTTTTGCTGCTTCCCTTGCAATGCGTCGGGTCAAAACATGCCTGCTGCCGCGCTTCGTGGATAGCTTGAAACGAAAGGGGCCCGTGTATGGCTTCGTTCTGTGGTAACATCACCGAAGCAGCTCTTCACCCAGGGATGATACCCTTTCAAGCGCGCTGCAAGTTTCAAACCTTCTCCGTTGATTTCTTTGAACCCAAAGTTGCCACCCAATGCCTGGGCCCGCGCCAGCGCGAGGCAATACACAGCCGCCATGACCATGCAGAGCTGCTGGCCGGTGGCGGTCACCTTTCCTGGGCAACTTCCGCGACCCGGAGTGACCTTTCCGCTCATTCAGGGGATGCACGGGCGTTAACCTATGTATTTCCATAGGTTGTAATTGTTTCTTCTGTTCCTTCCTTAACTCTTTTGTTGCTTTACTCTGTCTCTGCATTCCTTACATGTTTTGTAAAATATCTCTTCCATTGTAATTCTATCATACATTTTGTGAAAATCCTTTCTTGGCTTTGCTTCATCGCATTTACTGCAATGATAAACCATCTGTAGAACGCATAATATTAGTTATGCTAATATTTCTTTACATGCCTTGCAATGAACGATATTTTATAGAATGATATGATCATGAATAAACCCCTGTGTCTTCATCAAGATCAATTTTGTAATAATCCATTGTTGATTGTTGTGGTTCTTTAATGTCTCTATGGTTTAATTTCTTAAGAGATATATGTATATATATACCTCTCTTGTTCTTGTATTCCTGACTATCTCTATCTACTTCTTTCGGTTGATAGTTGTTTTTTAGTATATGTTGGTTTCTTTGTCATGCTCTTTAAGATTGAATATATTTGTTTGTTCTGTTCCATTATCTCACCAATTTTCAAAATCAGTTTATCTATACTTTCCGTGTATGCTATATTACAAATAAGACTGTTAAAACTAAATGTTTTATTTGTGTTAAAACTACTCTTTAAATACTAACTTGTGTCCCTGTTAAAACTAACATTCATTAAATGTTCGTTAGTTTCAATAGCCAGATCACCGCCTGGTTTTTTCTCAATATTCAAATCTTTAGCTGACTTTTGATAAGAAAACATACAAGGAACACAACTAAGCTGAACTCCACCTTTTTTATCGACCGTCGATTCATTTTTCAAAGTCATAGCGTGATTACATTTATTAGCCTTACTTTCACCCATTGATTTAACACTTTCTGTCGTTTCTTTCCGTGTTTCAATTTCTGGCATTGGTTTTTCTTTGCTTCTACTCTTTTTTGTGTTTTTTTTGCATTTATATTGATATTTACGTTATTATTTCTGATATATTAAATTACTAACAAAATTAATTCCATTGTATAATAACAACGTTCTCTAGTTTTATTGTCAGTTATTATTGCTTGTTCTACTTTCTCTACTGCATTTATTATATCAATATAGTCTGAGTAACTTCTATTCATGTTGATCATGAGATGAAACAATGATAAATAAATATTTAATCTTATTATTGCATGCATGATAGAATATTCGGGGCTCAGCAATGGGGTTGTCTTCGCACTGTATCAAACTAATTATCTTCAATGCTTATGATTAGAGTAATGAACATCTGTTCCATTTATGATATCCCTATATCATAAACGATAGTTCATACAATAAAAAGTACAAGTTAATGTTTAACTATACTTTGAAAAATAGGTTAATGACACTGTATCAAAATAAAGTTTCATCAACTATTGTTTATAAGTATATATAATTTTCTTTTATTATGCCTGATAATTCACAACCGATAATTGAACCGATAAATGTGAGACAAATTGAATTTAAACAACCAGCATACGGTAAAGCGCATAAACTACCTTTTCGTAGCATTATTGTTAGTTCATCACAAGGTGGTAAAGGAACCCTTATACAGAACCTCGTGTTAAAAGTATATCGGGACTGATTTGAAAGAATATACATTGTTTCCCCAACAGCAACGATTGATGAAGCATATAGAGAAACTATTAGATATGTTGAAACTGAATTAGAAGTAGATAATAATAAAGAACAATACCTTGTTGAATTATATAACCCGGGAATTATAGATTATCCAAAGAAATTAGGAATGAAGAAACTATTTAGTTGCTTACTCATTATTGATGATTTTGCAGAAGATAGACATTTATGAGATATAGTAAAATATTACACGGTTTATATACGAAATCAAGACACTTTGGTTTATCCATTATTACATCCGTTCAAAAATGCAATGCGTTAAGTCCTATTGTTAGACTAAACACAAGCAGTTTGTATATATTCAAACTAAAAACCAATCTGAGATTGATACTTTTTGTTATGGAACAATCGGCACTAGTTGATAAACAAACATTATATGAAATATACAAAAACGGCAACACATGACAAACCCTATTCATTCCTTTTCGCTAAACTTCGTGAAAGCGATGTAAATAAAATATTTATGGTGGGATTTGAAAAAGAGAATCGTATAGATTAATATTCAAATGTATGAATATTATTAATTCTAAATTCTAAATTAATGAAGCATTGCAAAATTGTAAAGCAGGTAGTTTATATATTAATTTGTCAGAATTCTATTTTGCTAATTTTTCTATTCGTGCCACACATTCTTGAATAGATTATATTTTTAAAGTATCTGCTCTTGCTTTTTCATCTAGTCTCAAAAATTCTTAATGTCTTCCATACTGTTATTTTCATCGCTTTTACTTTGACCAATACCCAGTAAATATAATATTATTTAGATTTAAACTTTCCATATTGCTTTTGTGGTTTTCTTCTTCTTCATCTTCAGTTGGCGCTGGTTCGTTTGGGCTTTCAGACGAAGAACTATTAACTGTAATAGGCGGAGATGAATGAACACTAATAACTTCATTAGAAGAACTACTGCTACTTTGTGCATTTCCTGCCGTTATCTGATTGACTAAATCTGCAAGATTTATTGTTGTTGCAATTGTGCTGTGCGATAAGTTTTATATTATATCTGCTGTTGTAGCGCCGTTATGTAGCATTATTCCATCAGCTTTGTCAGTTTGAACTTCTTTTCTTCTTCGTGGCCACTGTCCTTATCCTCGGGCGGTTTCTTTGGCGGTGGTTCTGGTGGTTTGTTGTTGTCCAGCATTTCAGTAAATGCCGACACCATTGCATCACATGTGTTTTTCAGTGTTTGTGTTGCTTGTGTTCTTGCTGGTTCATTTCTTTTGTATGTGTTGCGCAGAAGCTTTGAAGCGTTGTTTTAAACGTATTGTCTTGGTTTTCCTTTACCTTAAACGCTTCAAATGTTGTATTTAATTGTTGATTTGCAGCATTATAAAATTTGTCGTTAGTCTCTCTGGCTTCCATAGCAATAGTATCTGTGTTGGCCGCAATGTCAATAAATTCATTTTCGGTTATTGTCTTGTTGGTGGTAGTATGTTTGGTTTGATTAGGTGTATGTATTGAAAAACTGTCGTCATCATCATATGTATTATTGAATTTATGCTTCTTCTTTTTCAGTATGTGTTTGCTAATATTATCATTAAATACACTTATATGATTATTATTAACTTTCACCGCTTCCTGCCGCTCTACTTGGATGTCTTGCCATCTTATTTGGTAGTTGCTCCTATTACTTGTTGAGGTTTGGCGATATATTTGTAATAGACTAAGTTGCCATACATTTGGGCGATTTGGTCTGTTATTTGTATTTTTACATCGCCTTTTGCATTCTTAT